CGCAGGACGAGGGCAGCACCCGCCCATCCGCGTCTCCACCGGCGTCCGCTGCGCAGTGAGCACGGAGCTCAAGGGCCATCTTTTCTAATGCAAGACGCGCCGGGCCGGTGCGCTCAGTGGGTAGAGGCGGCCTGGGACTGAAGGGTCCCGGGTTCGATTGGGTCAAGGGCACAGGCCCGGTTGCGGGCTCGATCCCCAGTGTGGGGCGTGCAGGAGGCAGCCGATCCATGACTCTTATCATTGATGTTTCTCTCTCTCCTCCCTTCCTCTCTGAAATCAATAAAAATATATTTAATAATAAATAAAAATTCACCTCGCTGCCCTGGCTGATGGCTCAGTGGTCAGAGCATTGGCCCACACCGAAGGGTCTTGGGCTTGATTCCGGTCAAGGGCACGGACCGGGGTTGCAGGTTCCACCCCCACCCCAGGAGGCAACCACCCAACCACCATCTTTTTCTCTCTCCTCCCTCCCCTCCCTCCCTCCCACTCCCACTCTCTCTAAAGATCCGTGGAAGAATATCCTCTGATGAGGATTAACAACAAAAGGAGGTTCACGCCTAAAAAGCTGGGTTAAAAGTCTTTGAATTCCTGTGACAGAGAAACCCGCACCACATCGTCTTTCGGGGGCGGAGCGCCGCCCTGCCGGCGGCCTGCAGGCATTTCCTTCTTGAATACACTAGTGTTTTCTCCTTATCTTTTCTAGGAAGAAAAGATAGAAGCTCAAGTTTGCCCAAGAATTTAATTTCTTTCGTCGTCTGAGATGGATTTGCTACCTGTGTCCTTAGGGATATGGGTTGGACCACAGGAGGGCTTAAGAGCGTCCCTGACAGGGTAGCTTTGTTTATGAGGCTCCACCCACTAGAATGCAAGGAGCTCCCCAAATCCAGGGCGCAGCCTGCGTTGGATTGGTTTCGGGAGCGCACAAACCGTACTGAGGTTTAGATAAGGCGTCTGGCCGCCTGCTGGTAGGAAATTTGAGAAATCGAGTGGAAACTCCTAATGCAAATTTGTAACCACAGCTAATAATGGTTCTTTACTTAAAAAGGCATTTTAGCCCTAACCGGTTTGGCTCAGTGGATAGAGCGTCGGCCTGCGGACTGAAGGGTCCCAGGTTCGATTCCAATCAAGGGCATGTACCTGAGTTGCGGGCACATCCCTAGTGGGAGTGTGCAGGAGGCAGCTGATCGGTGTTTCTCTCTCATCGATGTTTCTAACTCTCTATCCCTTTCCCTTCCTCTCGGTAAAAAATCAATAAAATATTTTAATTAAATAAATAAAATTTTTTTAAAAAGGCATTTTATGAGCAAAAAAATTAAGTTACTCAATTGAATTCCAAAATCTTTGGTTAAAAGGAAATATTACTCTCTGGCAAGGAGAGAATAAAAAATTATTTATAAATAACAACATAAAGTCAACCAAGTTGTCCGTAAAAGTTCAACTAGATTTCCTTTTCTAAAGAGCTTTATTGAGATACAACAGGCCACACAGCTCAGGATGTGCAGCGTGTTGCTTCTGGTATATTCACAGGGCTCTGCCAGCACCACCATGATCTAATTTTAGAACATTTCCTTCTCGTCACCCCTGCCGAAAAGAAACCCCAAACCAGGGCCAGCCCCTCCTCTCCTCACCTACACGCTGCCCCTGTCCCGGGCGATACTGTCCACTCCTGGGGTTTCAGCTGACGGCTCAAGCACTCAGCCCAAGCTCAGGTGACTTCGTGTCTCCCCCCCCTCCGCCCACCCCTCTGGCCGATTGAGTGGGGGGGGCAGGGCGTGAGGCTGCCTGCCTCCTGGGCTGGCCACAGAGCCTCTCAGGTCCTCCTGGGGCTCAGGCCCGGGCTCTGGGGCAGCCAGCCGTGCGGGCGGGTGTTGCCACCCCAGGCTCCAGCCGTCCTGGCCCTGGACGTGCTGGTGAAAAGGCCTCGGGGCAGTCGGCCCAGCTGCCATCCGAGGCCCCTGCCCAGCGACTCTGAGCGGCAGCTGCCCCGTGGCCCTTTCATGCCACTGAGTTTCGAGGTGCCTTGTGAGGCCCTTGCTAACCCGAACCCACCCAACCCCAGGTCTCCTCCTGGCTCTCAGCCATCAACACGGAGCCGCCTCCCCCGGGCTGCTGCCTCCTGGCTCCCCGGCTCCCTCCCTGCCCACCTGGTGCCCACTTCCTCAAACTCTCTGGTCCTGCTCTTGTGGCTGAAGCACTCATGACCCTGACAGGACGAGGCTTGCCCTCCTCCAGGGCCTGCCCCCCACCCCAACACCTGGCTTCACCCCCTTCAGTCTCCACCTCTCTCCTCCCTCCCATCTCCTGCAGACCCCCTTCCCCACTCCTTAAAATACCCTCCATGCCCGGCCAGCCTGGCTCAGTGGTTGAGCATCGACCTAGGAACCAGGAGGTCACGGTTTGATTCCCGGTCAGGGCACAGGCCCGGGTTGCAGGCTCCATCCCCAGTGGGGTGTGTGTGGGATTCTTTCTCTCATCGTTGATGTTCTCTCCCTCTCCCTTCCTCTCTGAAATCAATAACAATATATTTTCTTAAAAACTACCCTCCGTCACCCAGGCCTTCCCTCCGGGCAACCCCACCACACCCCTAACGGCACCCACCACTCTCTCTGTGACCTATCTGGTGATGGGTCCACTTCCCAAAGTAGACCTGGAGCTTCGAGGTGACAAGAGGGTCACAGCCTGTTCCTCTGCACAGCCTGGCACAGTGCCTGGCACACAGCCAATAACAAATAAGTCAGTAGATGTTTATTATGAACACACTGTGCAGAAATAAACAAGAGAACAATGTTCCAAGAGCACAAGCACGCTGTCTACCCAGAGCTTGGCCCCGGCCCCACCCTATCAGCCGCCGAGCAGGCCACTGGGGATCCTGGTGGGGAGGGGCCACACGATTCACAGGGGGCAGGTTTGGCTTCTCAGGCTGGTCCTGCGTTGGAAATGGGGCAGAACCAGGGAGGCTTCGGTCACTGGCCAGCGCTGGCCTTCCGGCCATTGATGTGGTTGGCTCCGGGGATTTGTGTGGGCCGGAGGTCTCCTGTCCAGGGGACCGGACATTGCCCCCGGTCTCTTGGGCGGATGATGAAAGACGCCCTCTCGGGTGGAAGGCGGGGGCAGGACAGAGGAAGGAGCGTTGAGAGGTGGCCCAGTGATCCTGCCACAGCTTGGCCCTGGGTGACTCCACCGTCCAACCTGGCTGGTCCCTCTTCGCAGCCGAGCAGGTGGACCGAGACAAAAGGTAGGGCTGCTGTTGCTGGGGCAGGTGTGAGCTCCTGGGGGCAGTTCTTCTGCAGGGGATATCCGAGCTCACGCCTCCACCTCACGGTCTATTTCTCTGTGTAAGAATGCCAGCGCTGAGTGCCTAGCCAGGGGTGCACCTCAGCAGCGACATGAGTCTGAGACAGCCCCCCTGTGCCCTGCTGGGAGGGGTTCATGCTCAAAAAGTGGTAGCGGTGTGCCCTGACCGGTGTTGCTCAGTGGTTGGCGTGTCAGCCCACATACCGAAGGGTCTCAGGTTCGATTCCCAGTCAAGGGCATGTACCTGGGTTATAGGTTCCATCCCCATCGATCCCTGACCCTGTCCGGGGCATGTGTGGGAGGCAACCAATCCATATGTCTCTCTCACATTGATCTCTCTCTCTCTCTCCTCCTCCTCTCTTCCTCCTCCTCTCTTCCTCCCTTCCACTCTCTCTATAAAAAAAAAAACACACCAGCCCAGCTGCTGTGGCTCAGTGGTTGCGCGTCAACCTATGAACCAGGAGGTCACGTTTCGATTCCAGTCTGGGCACAGGCCCGGGTTATGGGCTCGATCCCCAGTAGGGGGCGTGCAGGAGGCAACCGATCAATGATTCTCTCTCTTAATGTTTCTCTCTATCCCTCTCCCAGTTTTAACATTAAAAAAATATATTAAAAATTTTTTTAATTAATGGGAAAAAATCCTCCGGTGAGGATTAACAAAACAAACAAACAAACAAAAACAAAACCATGGTCGCTGTGGTTTAGAGATCTGTACTGTCCAAGCCGGCGTCTTAGCTTTCACTTGGCAGGTTGGGAGGCTGTGGATCATACCTGATATTGGGCAGTAAAAGCTGGAAAGAGGTCTGACCTGAGAGGTTTGTGAACCAACAGAAAAGAGGCTCCATACATGGAAGAAGGTTTCCAAACAACCAGGGGCTGGGCATGGGGGGGCCCCGGGAGAGGTACTTGTGACGTCTTTCTTATTGTGGTAAACATTTACCATCTTAACCACTTTTCAAAAAATATATGTCTTTATTGATTTCAGAGAGGAAGGGGGAGGGAGGGAGAGAGAGAAACATCGATGATGAGAGAGAATCATGATCGGCTGCCTCCTGCACGCCCCACACTGGGGATCGAGCCCACAACCTGGGCCTGTGCCCTGAAACCTGGAATCAAACCGTGACCTCCTGGTTCCTAGGTCGATGCTCAACCACTGAGCCACACAGGCCGGGCAACAACATGCTCTTGTTTAAACGAACCAAGGGCTCGGTGGGCCCTGGGGAAAGGGCTGTTAAAAACCTATTTCCATTTGGCAATAAAAAGAAATTTGCAACAATGGAGGGACTCCCCATGCACACGATTGCTCAGTGACGGGAGCCCATCCGAAAAGGCCACATCCTGCGGTTCCAACTCCAGGCAGAGCGATGGGGACAGGAGAAAGACCCGTGTTTGCCGGGACGGACAGCGGAGACAGAGGACGTGCAGGGCAGTGAGGCTCGTCTGTGTGACACTGAAATGATGACCGCGCCCTGTGTTTGTCCAAACCCACAGAATGTACAACACAGAGGGACCCCAATGTCCACTATGGGCTTGGGGTGACAACAAAGGATCGATATCAGTCGATCGGTTGTAACAAGCAGACCATACCCACGTCAGATGTTAACAGCAAGGGAAACTGAGGCAGAAGGCCAGCAGAAGGAACCTCTGGACTTTGTGCACGATTTTTCTGTAAACCTAAAGCTGCTCTAGAAAAATAATGTCTATTAATTTAAAAAAACATTTTGTAAGAGAACGATGGGGAGGGGGAGGGGGAGGAAGTGGGTGCCTGCACAGGGTGCCTGGGGGACGCTCCTCAGACACGACATTGACAGGCCGCCGCCCGATGGCGCTCGCCGGGTGCCTGCTGCTGCCGCTGCTGCTGCTCTGGGCTCGGCCTGTGTCCTCCGTGACCAAGGAGACCGATGTCCTGGTTCTGTCCCATAAGGTAAGTCCACGCCCGAGTCCCTGCACAGGCGAGGCCTCCACCCTCGGCTGCTCTCGGGGGCCCCTGGCCCTTTTCCAGAGGGTGCCCGGCCCCGAGTGCCCGGTGCCTGCTCCCTCCATGCCCCACGGCCCCGTGACCCTCTGGACGGTCAGTCCCTCCTCAGTCCTCCTGCTTCTCACCCCAAAGCTGGCGGCTGGTCTCACCTGGGAGCCGCGGTCCCGGCTTTAACTCTTAGCCAGTAGATTTCTTTTTCTTTTTCTTTTTTAAAAATATTTTTATTGATTTCAGAGAAAGGAAGCAAGAGGGAGAGAAAGATAGAAGCATCAATGATGAGAGTGAGTCACTGACCGGCTGCCCCCTGCACGCCCCCTACTGGGGGTCGAGCCCTCACCCCGGGCCTGTGCCCCCACTGGAATCGAAACGTGACCTCCTGGTTCCTAGGTCGACGCTCAGCCACTGAGCCACCCCCGGTGGGAGGCTTCTATCTCCTGCCCCGCAGCTCGGCCACTCACTAGCTTTCCCGGCTCCGTGCCTCAGTTTACCCTCTGTCCACTGGGCTCAGGACAGAGGTTGCCCCCTCCTCCCCCTGTCCGCGGCCCCAGGCCAGCCCCCCTCCCTGCTCTGTGAATGTTCCAGAAACCCCGCCAGGTTCGATAAGTCTGAAGGCCGATGGGACCCGGGTGGGACCCGGACGGGACCAAGGGAAGCGGAGAACAGGGGGGCTCTTTTGGGGTCTGCAACGCCCTGGACCCCGCAGGGGATCGGGGAGACCTGTGAAGAAAACGTGGAATGCCAGACCGATTGCTGCGTCACCAACAGCCTGAACCCCCAGAAGTTCTGCACGTCCCAAACCATCTTCCTGCAGTGCCTGTCCTGGCGGAAGGTGCGAGGGCTCAGTGGGGCGGGGGAGGGGGG